AGCCGAATTGTTGGGGTTATAAAATGTTTCTTTTAGCTGGTAGCGAAAGTGGTATATGCTATGACTTTATTTTCTACACAGGTAAAAATAATAAACAGAAGTATGGATTCTGTACAGATGTTGTATTGAATCTTTATGAAACTGTGCCACGTTTTATCAATCACAAAGTGTATTTTGACAATTATTTTACAACAATTCGTTTATAGGTAGAGTTGAGAAAGTTCGGCATTTTTACAGTTGATACAGTAAGATCAAATCGATTATTTGATTTAAACATCAAAAATGCAAAAGATTTATCAAAGGAAGGTAGGGGTGCAATGTATCATCGTGTCACGAAAGTTGAAGGAGTGTAATTATGCATGACACGATGGTATGATAATAATGCTGTTGATTGTTTTTCTACATTGTACGATTGTGAACCGATTGATTCAGTACAACGATGGTCATCAAAACAAAAGAAACATATTCTCATAGAACGACCAAAGGTCATACAGGCATATAATGAACATATGAAAGGAGTCGATTTAATCGACATGTTGATTTCTTTGTATCGAATAAATGTTAGTTATAAAAAATATTATATAAAAATCATCTTTCACCTTATTGATTTGTCAGCTGTCAATGCATGGTTATTATATCAACGCCACTGTTTAAAACTAAAGCTTCAAAAAAAGAATATAATGTCTTTATTGACTTTTTGCATAAATATTACTACTGTTTTACTTAAATCCAGTCCATCACCACCTATCATAAAATGTGATCGACCATCATTAGAATCAAAATTAAATGAAAATAATTCAATAACAACTTTACGAGTTACACCAACTTCAGCTCCACCTTCAAGTACACGATTCGACAAATATGATCATTGACCTACAACAACATCAAAAGGACGTTGTCGAAATAATGCCTGTTATGGTTATACAAGAATATCATATTCCAAATGTAATGTTCGTTTATGCTTGAACAAAAAAACTAACTGTTTTGCTAATTATCATAATTAATGTGTCTTTTCTGAAATGATACTTGTCCTACTTTTTTGTTTTATTATTTGTTTGTCTTGTTTCTCTGCGCATAACTGAACTTTTTTGTGATCGTAATTACTTTATTAATAAATGAAAAAGCACTAAATAGTGAATTGTGAGTTCGGAAAATGAACAAAAAGTTTCACGTTTTTTTATCTCTTTTCTGCCAGCTGTTGCCAAATGGCAACATGGAGCCGCAAAGTACTGAATAAGTTTTTTTTTCGAAAAAATTATTTTCGTGAAAAAGTTAATATGTTAAGTAAGACAAAAGACCATTTAAAAATAGTATAGTTTATTGCTATTTCATTTAGTTCATGAATCATCAACGAATATACTTCTCCATAGTCCTCGTACGAGCACTCATGTACATTGGTTGAGAA